ATTTTTATTTATTTGACAGAGACAGACACAGCGAGAGAGGGAACACAAGCAGAGGGAGTAGGAGAGGGAGAAGCAGGCTTCCCACGGAGCAGGGAGCCCGATGCGGGGCTCGCTCCCAGGACCCTGGGATCATGACCTGAGCCGAAGGCAGACGCTTAACCGACTGAGCCACCCAGGCGCCCCTGGGGCCATAAGTTTTTGTTTCTTCAGTTTCTTCTGGGATATCTTTTTCTTCTGTGCAACCTCTTCTTCTGGTTTAGGAACAATCTGCTCTTTTTCAGTAAGGATCATCTCAATGTGGCAGGGAGAGCTCATGTATGGGTTAGTCCAACCATGAGCCCTGTATGTTCTATGCCGCATCTTGGGCGCTTTGTTCACCTGGATGTGCTCAATGACCAGAGAATCAACATCTAAACCCTTAAGTTCATCATTACTCTCTGCAGTTTTAAGCATGTGCAGTAAAAATTCAGCACTCTTCTTGGGCCACCAACCCTGTGTCCAGCCCCACTGTTTGGCCTGGGCACACCTACCGACTCCACCATTGTAGCGACGGAATGGCACATACTGCTTCTGTAAAGTGATGTCTTTCAGATACTTGGTGCCTTTTCAGGTATGCATACCCTTGATGGCCTGGGCAGTTTCACGTGTGTTCTTAAAGTGAACAGAAAGATTTGAACCTCTTGATTTACATGATTTCGTAGGGTTTTCTGGGTCAAGCGGATAGTGAACCATTTTCAGAGGTCACCTCAGGCCGCTTAGGACGGTAGTCTGTCATACTTAACCAGGAGTCTAAAATTAATTTTAAAAATTAACTGAGACTAACTTTTCAGTACTGACATGATCTTAGGAACATGTGAATTAGTTTTTATATGTTACTATATTCTCTCTCCCAGCTGTCTTGGATTCTTGGTATTAATAACATATAGTCTTCTAACTCATTTAAAGTTCTTTCTCAAGTTTCTAAAGACAGATTTTCTCTGTAGTTCTAATGTAAAATGGTCACATTTCAATTAGATCCATGGTAACTGGTCACAATTTTTACTCTTTCTGATCCTTTAGCGGATGGAAGCACAGTACATGCAGAGAGTGTGGTTCTGACTACCGGAACGTTCCTGAGAGGCGTGATTGTAATTGGACTGGAGACACATCCGGCAGGGCGTTTAGGGGATCAGCCTTCTGTTGGGTTGGCTCAGACTCTGGAGAAGTTGGGGTTTGTGGTGGGAAGATTGAAGACTGGGACTCCACCCCGAATTGCCAAAGAGTCGGTTAATTTCAGCATTCTAAACAAGCAAACACCAGATAATCCATCCATACCATTCAGTTTTATCAATGAGACAGTGTGGATTAAGGTAAGATAAGTTATGACAACTTAACTTTACAGTTGACGGTGGCTATTCACAGCAGCATATAGCCTAACTCTCCCTCCTTCCCTCCCTCTCTCCCTCCCTCCCTCTCTCCCTCTCTCCCTCCCTTCCTTTCTCTCTTCCTTCTTTCCTTCCTTCTTTCTCTCTTCTGCCCTTCCTCCCTTCATTCCTTCACAATTCACCTTACATTCCTATTACTTAGGGTGCAAAAAAGTGATATTTAACAGGATTAGCTAATTTGGCTAATTGGGTGTTTCCCCATAAGTTCTTAAGTTTCATTACTTCAGTAATCTTGCCAATTTAAACTTTTTTGAAACAATGGCAGACATACATAAATACTGCAAGACCATTAAAACAAACTCTTGTAAACCATTGAAATTCACCCACCGTTAATATTTTACCATATATATCTCTCTATATAGAAATATAGAGATATATGTATATATTTAATCTATAAAACAGTAATATAGACATTTATCCTTATTCTTTTCTTTTTCCAGAACATTTGAGAGTAAGTTGTAGAGACCATGACCCTTTACTTCTAAATATTTGAGTATGGATTTCAACTAAGCACAGAGACGTGCTCTTATATTACCTCATTGCAGTAATGAAATTCGGGGAATTTAACATTGATACAGTGCTGTTATCTAATATATAGTTCATAGTCAGATTTTGCTGATTGTCCCAGTATTGTTCTTTATAGCAACCTTTTTTTTTTCAATCCAGGAAAAAATATAGTATTTGTCATTTCTCTTTGATATTGAACAGTTCCTCAGTCTTTAATGATACTGGTATTTTTGAAGAGTACAATCTACTTTTGCCTACTTTTGGAATTATTAAAAAAAAAGGTATATTGTGTGTTTAGAATTGAGGACTAATAATTGATGGTCCTAGTTTCTGGTGAGTGTTATTGTGATAAGTGGCTCCAAGTATTCTGCGATCTTGAGCAAGTCACTTTTGTATTTTTGCTTTGGTAAAATGTAAATTGTGATGCTACTTTCTTAGTGTGTATATTTTTAAACTGTTTATTATAAAATTTCAATTTTATGGAAAGTAGAAAAAAATAGCATAATGAATCTCTGTCCATCACCCAGCTTCAACAAGTAACATTTTCTGGCATTCCTGTTTCATCTTTTCTTAACACTTTCTTCTTGTGAGGTTTTTCTTTTTTTTTTTTAAGATTTTATTTGTCAGAGAGAGAGCGCGCGCACAAGCAGGGGGAGTGGCAGGCAGAGGGAGAAGCAGGCGCTTCACTGAGCTGGAAGCCCGATGTGGGACTCAATCCCAGGATCCTGGGATCATGACCTGAGCTGAGGGCAGACGCTTAATCGACTGAGCCACCCAGGCATCCTGACTTCTTGTGAAGTTTTAAAGCTACAGTCCCAAATATCACATCATTTCACTTGTAAATACTTTGGTATATGTCTTTAACATGAGAACTTTGTAAAAAAACAACCACAATACCATTATCACACCCAGAAAATAAGGACCAAATAAAGGCCACACATTGAATTGGATGATATGCCTGATAACAACAGTTCCCCTCCTTTTTTTCTTTTTTCTTTTTGACATTTATATGTGGAAGAAACTGAGTCATCTGTTCTCTAGAATTTCTAGGATTTCCCACATTCTAGATTTCTCCCTTCTGGTGCCTTAAATATTTTCTTCCATTTTCTATATTTTTTGTAAACTGGTAGATCTACCGTCTTGTTTAAATTAGTTTCATCTCCTGGGTTGTTTTTGGGAAGAATACTTCATTAGTAGTACTCAGCATTATGCATAGGTTTAATGTCTGTAAAAGTAAGTGCATATCATGTGGGTAATTTATTTGAGTAAAAGGCAAACTAGTAAAGAAGCAAACATTGTTATAAGTAGTTCCTATATTTTAGCCAGAAGATCAGCTGCCATGTTACTTGACTCACACCAACCCTAGAGTGGATGAGATTGTCCTTGAGAACCTTCACCTTAATAGTCACATTAAGGAAACTACAAGAGGACCCAGGTAAAGACAAAACATTACTTTAAGGAATGCTGTCAACCCTCTTTTGTTTGCTTCATTAAATTTTTAAATTTCATTGTCCTGTTGCAGATACTGTCCATCCATTGAATCAAAGGTTTTGCGTTTTCCAAACCGTATACATCAGGTTTGGCTGGAACCTGAAGGAATGGATTCTGACCTCATCTACCCCCAAGGGTTATCTGTGACACTACCAGCTGAATTACAAGAGAAAATGATCACATGCATCAAAGGCTTGGAGAAAGCTAAAATGATTCAGCCAGGTAAAGAGAATCACAGCTGCCCTTCCATATGAGCTCAGCATTGTTTTAGCAGACAATGAGGAGGTCTTAGCTACAGTTACAGTTGCCTAGAGCCTCAGAAGACAAAGCCCAACATCTGTGCATTTAAAATATTCTTTGTTTTTCAAGAACATTTAATGATAATCTTTGCATCTCTAGTTTGAGACAAATCCAGCTCGGTTTTTACTTATTTTGTATAATTTATTCTTTGGTCAGGCTATGGTGTTCAGTATGATTACTTAGACCCCCGTCAGATCACTCCTTCTCTTGAGACTCATTTGGTGCAACGGCTGTTCTTTGCTGGCCAGATAAATGGCACTACTGGTTATGAGGAAGCTGCAGCTCAAGTAAGTGGTTGTTCAAATGTTAACTATAAACAGAAAAGGGCAATTTAACTGGTGTTCCTCCTTTTAATTTCTGTTGTGGTAACTATATAGGTCTTAGATACAACTCATAAATTGTAATGGAAGACTTATTTCTGTTTCAGGGTATACAGGGATGGCTACTATATACAAGAGAATTTAAAAAACACGTGTGGGTTATTTTTGTTTTTAATTTTTTTATTTGCATGTAGTTGGCACACAACATTACATTAGTTTCAAGTGTACAGCTGAGTGATTTGACAAGTTTATACATTCTGCTGCGCTCACCACAAATGTAGCTACTGTGTGTCTGTCCCGTTGCACCCCTACTCCAGTATCATTGACTGTATTCCTTATGCCGTGCTAAACACTTGTGGTTTTAATTCTCTTTTCTGAGCTCCTAGGTCTGATATCCTATTTGATTAGGTTTACTGTATTTAGAAATTTTTTAAAAGATTTTTTTTATTTATTTGCCAGAGAGACAGAGCACAAGCAGGGGTGAGAGGCAAGTAGAGGAAGAAGCAGGTTCCTTGCCAAGCAAGGAGCCAGACGTGGGACTCGATCCCAGGACCCTGGGATCATAACCTGAGCCAAAGGCAGACGCTCAACCAGCTGAGCCACCTAGGCATCCCTATTTTGAAAAAATTTTTTTAAGATTTTATTTTTAAGCAATCTCTACACCCAAAGTGGGGCTCACACTTAACCCCGAGATCAAGAGTTGCATTCTCTACTGACTGAGCCAGACAGGCACCCCTGAATTTTTTTGAAAAAGAAAATTTAGTTCTTTCAACATAACTTTATTGCAAATTATCATATTCCTTTGAAGGGAGAAGTTATGTTATTTTTACTTGTAAGTAGGAAAAGGCTAGAAGAGTTTTATGGGTGGATTTTAGAAAACATATTAGCCTACCTCAAGCTTATCAGGAATGTTAAATATGTTTGAAAACAATGAAACATAGCATTCTAAAGCAGCACATTACCTGTATTGTTTTTGAATACGTATCACATTTTCTCTGTTCTCTCTCTTCTGGTCAGTGCCTGCTTTCTTGATACCCGACGCTGTTTTTTCCAGGTAGTGTTCTAAGGTAGCTCTTTGTTCAGTTCGTAATGGCCTTTTAAACATTTCAGTCCTCTCGTAGGGTGTGATAGCTGGAATCAATGCAAGTCTTCGCGTCAAACGCAAGCCTCCTTTTGTCGTCAGCCGAACAGAAGGCTACATAGGAGTCTTGATTGATGACCTCACCACACTGGGCACCAACGAACCCTACCGCATGTTTACAAGCCGAGCAGAGTTCCGTCTGTCACTGCGCCCTGATAATGCCGACAGCAGGCTCACGTTCCGAGGTAACTCTTCACTGAGTCCTACAACCAGGTTTACTCTTCCTTCAAACCTCTCTTATTATATTCTTCCCCTCCCTCTTCTAGGGTATAAGGAAGTTGGCTGTGTGTCCCAACAACGATATGAAAGAGCTGCTTGGATGAAGTCTTCTTTGGAAGAAGGCATTTCTGTGCTAAAATCCATTGAGTTTTCAAGTTCTAAATGGAAAAAATTAATTCCAGAGGCTTCTATAAGTATTGGTAAAAGTCTGCCTCTCAGGTATGCACTTTTAACATAGATTTTCTCACTCTTTACAGAAAAGTGAGATTGTTTCAGAGAGACATTACTTGTGGATTCCTTTTTAATTTTTTTTATTTTTTGGATTCCCTATTTTAAATGAATTTAGCTTACTTTTGGCTTCTTTTCAAAATCCTTTAGATGTGACTCAACTCTTTATTCAGGATTAAATATATATATGATTCTAAATTATTTTTATTTTTTTATATAATATTTCTGAGGCTCCCATTGAGTTCTTCTGGCTTTCCTAAGATTTAGAGGGTACAAACCAAGAAATACTGTTAATCTGCCTTCTTTTATAAGTATGGAGTAATTGGAAACCTCTTTTTTTTTTTAACTTATTTTAGAAAAAAAGAGAGAGAGTGTGTGTGTGTGTACATGTGAGGGGGGAGGGGCAAAGGGAGAGAATCTTGAGCAGACTCTGCACTGAGTGTGGAGCCCGACACAGGGCTCAGTTTCACGATCCTGAGATCATGACCTGAGCCTAAATGAAGAGTAGGATGCCCAACCGACTGAGCCACCAAGACGCCCCAAAAACCACTTTGATTAAACAGAGTATTTTAAATTCTGTGGACTTACTGGCAGAGTTCCTTGCTACATGTTAGGGGGTTTTTTTGTCCTTGCTTTTGTCATTCTGGTTAAATGGACTCTGAATCTAAAGGACATAAATATAGAGCTTTGCTTCATAGATACGTTCCTAAGGACCTTGCATAGTTCAAAATCTGCATATCTCACCACTCATTTTTCCTGTTTAAAAAAATGTAAGCTAATTCAGGTGGGGAGTTGCCCAGAAGGCATAAATCTTAAAATCATTGTAGCTTAGAAGCAAATATGGTGGCATTGATTTTGCAGCTATGTCTCCAATATACTTTTCTTTTATATTTTTCCTTTTTTTATTTTTTATTTTTATTTTTATTTTCTTTAAAGATTTTATTTATTTATTTGACAGAGAGAGACACAGCGAGAGCAGGAACACAAGCAGGGGGAGTGGGAGAGGGAGAAGCAGGCCTCCCGCGGAGCGGGGAGCCCAATGCAGGGCTCAATCCCAGGACCCTGGGATCATGACCTGAGCCGAAGGCAGACGCTTAACTGACTGAGCCACCCAGGTGCCCCCTTTTTTTTTTTTTAAACCCTGTTTTCCTTGTGCAGGATTTTGTGGACTTAAAAGGTATACCTGTTTTAATGCTGCTTTTTATTATCTCTAATCTTCCAGTGCTCTCTCCTTGACTAACAGCCTGGCATAATGAGTCCTTGTTTGACTTTAATCTCATCATGGTGTCTTATCATTTATAACTTCTATTCCCAAGTTTTCATTTTCACAGGAATTTCCCAAAGCACTGACACTATTGTTAGAGGCTTTTAAGCAGACTTTTAATTATAGTAACAATAAGTGTTAAAGAACCTGCATGGGACGCCTGGGTGGCTCAGTCATTAAGCGTCTACCTTCAGCTCAGGTTATGATCCCAGGGTCCTGATATCCAGCCCGGCATCAGGCTCCCTGCTCGGCGGGAAGCCTGCTTCTCCCTTCCCCACTGCCCCTGCTTGTGTTCCTGCTCTCGCTGTGTCTCTGTCAAATAAATAAATAAAATCTTAAAAAAGAAAAAAAAAAAAGAACCTGCATAGTAGTCAGCCAAACCAGGAAATCTTATTCACAGGAGTGACAGCCTGATTGACAAATGAGGACGGTGGATATATTTACCAGCTAAGTGGCACTGGGAGATGGCAGTAGTATATACTTTATAATCCACTTAGTATTCCAGGTGTTTGTTTAAATTTAGGAAGGCTCGCATTATTTCAGACTCTTTGCAAAGAATTTATATATTTCAAGTTTATATTAACTAGAATTTGCATTAAATGTAACTAATGTGTATGAGATAACATTGCCAGTGGGGTAATTGATTGTTTTTAACACAGTCTAAAAAGCTAATCTATGAATGAAAAGGCTAGCAGTTTTACATTTTTATCAAACTAATCCCAAGAGTGATTTTATTAAGGTGATTAAAAAAATAATAATTTAGCCAAATGCTTTTTTAAAAAATTCATGTATCTTTCCCTTTGGGAGAAACCAGGGTCCCAGTCGCCATATTTTATTTCAGCAGAATATTTACAGTCTAGCATTCAGACTCCCTAAATGAATTCACTTTATCAATGCCTAGATATGTAAAGCTAGAAAGATAAAAAATTGGACAAAATACATTTATTGCATTTACTGTGTACATGCCAGGCTCTGTGCTAAGCACTCAGAAGTTGAACCAGACTTTGAACAGGCATTTTAACAGAAGAGATACATAAGTAACTGCATACACATTTCCTGTCAGGATTATAGGGAAATACACTAATGTGTTAGATTTTCTCTTTGTTCTATTGAGGTGTGCTAACTTGTCCTCTCTGTGCCAGAGCTCTGAACTCTGAGACTTAGGCTTGATTCAAAGCAGGTCTTAAAGTTTGTACCTGAGAACAGTTCCAAGGCTTGTAAATAAATTATTTTAAAAAAATGTTTAAGTTGGATGATCAAGGTCTTTTCTTTGAGGTTGTCGCCATCGTGCTAGATTCCAAGATAACGCTTTTTTTGGTTAGTCATTAGGTGTGTTCCAGTATGTTCTGTAGTTTATTTCTTTTTAAGATTTTATTTATTTGAGAGAGAGAGAGAGAGTACACATACATGAGCCAGGGGAGGGGCAGAGAAGTAGACCCCCTGCTGAGCAGGGAGCCCAGCATGAGACTCGATCCCAGGACCCTGGGATCATGACCTAAGGTGAAGGCAGACACTTAACCAACTGAGCCACCCAGGCACCCTGTTCTGTAGTTTAAAAGACAACCCAGCCATTTCCTTCTTGGCGCTTAAGGAAGGTTTCATTGTAGCTTGAGATGAGGCCTCTGTAATTAATTAGTTGACCTAATTTGTCTCTTGAATCACCGCAAAACTTCCCAGAATTTCTGGACATTCCTAGAGCAGGTGGTCTGAGGAAGAAATGAGTCAAGCATCCTCAAAGGGTGATAATGCATGACTGGTAATTAACAGTAAAGAAGGTTCGTTGGGAGGTCTGGGAAGACTTGGCAACCCTGGATGGACAGATCTGGCTTTCTGTTGACTTGATAATTAATTTAATTGATTTTGGGTGGACAGAATTTATCAAAAACATAATCTATTAGAGAGAAAGATCAAAATTAGTAAATAGAAGTAAAACGAATTAAGGCAGTAAATATGGGGAAATTATACAGATCAGTGAGTCTTGTGAGAACCAAACAAAATGAGAAGGAAACTGCAGGATATTTCCCAGTCTTGGGACCACAGGAATGAGGTGAGCCAAGGGCTGTACCATAGTTCAACTAAGTAGAACCAAGGTCTTAACAACAATGGAACTCATTATGTACTACTTTTAGTTACCCTGGCAATACCTTTTTCCCCCCCGTTAATTTTTTTTTATTATATTATGTTGATCACCATACATTACATCATTAGTTTTTGATATAGTGTTCCATGACTTATTGTTCGTGTATAACACCCAGTGCTCCATTCAGTACATGCCCTCTTTAATACCCATCACCAGGCTAACCCATCCCCCCACCCCCTCCCCTCTAGAACCCTCAGTCTGTTTCTCAGAGTCCATAGTCTCTCATGGTTCATCTCCCCCACCGATTTCCCCCCTTCATTTCACCCTTCCTACTATCTTTTTTTTTTTTTAACATATAATGTATTATTTGTTTCAGAGGTACAGGTCTGTGATTCAGCAGTCTTACACAATTCACAGCGCTCACCATATGTCTGTCACCCAGCCACCCCATTCCTCCCACCCCCACCACTCCAGCAACCCTCAGTTTGTTTCCTGAGATTAAGAATTCCTCATATCAATGAGGTCATATAATACATGTCTTTCTCTGATTGACTTATTTCACTCAGCATAACACCCCCCACTTCCATCCACATGGTTGCAAATGGCAAGGTTTCATTCCTTTTGATGGCTGCATAATATTCTATTGTATATATATACCACCTCTTCTTTATCCATTCATCTGTCGATGGACATCTTGGCTCTTTCCATAGTTTGGCTATTGTGGACATTGCTGCTATAAACATCGGGGTGCACATACCCCTTCTGATCACTACATTTGTATCTTTGAGGCAAATACCCAATAGTGCAATTGCTGGATCGTAGGGCAGCTCTATTTTCAACTTTTTGAGGAAGCTCCATACTGTTTTCCAGAGCGGTTGTACCAGCTTGCATTTCCACCAACAGTGTAGGAGGGTTCTCCTTTTAAATAAATTATAACCAAAAAAGTCACATGTAAATGATGTCAGTAATAATTAACAGAGAAACAACTGGTGTGGTTCACTTCACCTTAGGGAAGGATTAGAGGGTGGGGATGACTGATAACAAGAAGGAATCTGAGATCAGTATGAAAGGGATTAAACTGGCCAAAGGAGCACCAGAACTTCTGGAGATGAAACATACCTGAAGTTTCTCTCTCTAGTTGGATCTTAACCGGTGTCAATGAGTCAGTCAAGTTATTGCAAATTTCATCTGATCTACCTGTCAGCATTTATACTGAGGCATGTTCTTTTGGTGAGCCATGTAAGTTGCCTGGGAATTTTAGCAGTTGCCTCTATTAGCTGCATGTATTGATTGTTCTCCTCTCCCCTTGCTTTGGCTCAGGAGGCCTTAGCCTAACCAGAGTAGTGGAAGTAGAACTGAGAATTAGCTCCCTGAAGTTCCCAATCAGTAAAAATTGAAATGGAGATTATACTAAATTAGAAAATATCTGACTGGAAGAATACATAGGAACCCTTGACCATCATTTTCATCAGTTTGTTTTGCAGAGCCTTAAAACATACAGGGAGGGGCCCCTTGTTCTTACTAGGGGAGTTCTGCAAAAGCAAGAAAGAGATCTTCAGGTGCTTTTGAGCATGCAAGAGGATGACTCCTTCACAGGACATGGGGCTTAACATGATTTAGATGTAAATTCTTAGGGAATTCAAACCCTTGTTATCAGAGGATATTTTGTCCTTACAAGAAAGGGAGGACAAAAGGATTATAGTAATGCAACCTTTACCAACAACTTATTTCTCATAATAAAGGAGAGGAGTTGGGGAGAATTACAAACTAGTCTTATTGAGGTTCTCCTGTGTTGCAAATCTGCATTTGCTGACTGTGCTTGGAAAGAATTAGGAGTATATCTTTTGATATTAGTATTAATTCTGAGATTTGGCATTATTTCCAAGGAATCTTCTTCTTAATGTGGCTTATATAATATAGACCCCTATGTTTTGTTTTGGGTTTGTTTTTTTTTTACCCTATGCTAATGAAACTTTTGTATGTTTGCAGAGCTCTAGATGTTCTGAAGTATGAAGAAGTTGACATGAAGTTGTTAGCCAAGGCTATTCCAGAGCCCTTGAAGAAGTACATTAAATGTAGAGAGCTAGCTGAAAGACTGAAAATAGAAGGTAGAAAATAATTTTTTACTTACATGCCTATACATTCTCTTTTCCATTTGTGCAAATTATGAATGGATAGCAGATTCATTGAGAACGAGCTCTATGTTAAGAGGAGCTATTATTACCATAGAACCAGCATAGTCTTAGGCTCTGTGCTATTCAAATTGGGGTTCCCAGGCTAGCAGCATTGCAACACATGGGGGCTTGTTAGGATTACAGAATTTCACAGTCTCCCTCAGACCCACTGAATAAGCATCTGCATTTTAACAAGATCCCTAGGTAATTTGTGAGCATATTTCCAGTTTGGGGAAATGCTATAAGGTTTACCAAAAATAACCCCCCAAAACCAAAAAAACACAAAACTTTTTTTCCTTAAACTTTCTTTTACATTTTTCTCATCCAGTGTTCTAACGATGAGAAAAATAATACTGTCTTTGGCTTTAACAATGTACCAGAATAGGGGCACCTAGGTGGCTCAGTCCATTGAGCATCTGACTCTTGTTTTCAGCTCAGGTCATGATCTGAGGGTCGTGAGATCAACCCGTGTCAGGCTCTGCACTCAGCGCGGAGTCTGCTTCAGATTCTTTCTCCCTCTCCCTCTTCCTCCAGCTCTCTCTAATAAATAAAATCTTAAAAAACAGAAACAACAAAAAAACAATATACCGGAATACTCTACCATTAAAATACTTACTTTGCATCAGGCAAATCTGAGCCTGCTCCTGGTACATTATAACACATATCGTGCTCTCATACTCTCGGTCAGTGTACTGACCATCAAAGCTACAGATGACTTTGTAGTTGTAGTCTATTTTTTTTAAGTTTTTCATTATGAAAAATTTCACACATAAAAAAATAATATCAGCTTCTGCATTTTGATAGATGTTTTTTCCTGGAGTGGCAAATTATGTAGAGGAAAAGGCAGGGAACAGAAAGAGCTAGGGAGAAGGGTAGGAAAAGTTGGATAATGATGTATTGTTCAAATAGAAAAGGACTTTAAATTCCTTAGAGACCAGCCAAGGTTGTAAGAATGCTGCATTCCTTCCAGCAATGGCATTTTCTTTCAGTTCCAGAGAGATCTATCACTTTGCTATCCTTTGGCTATACATACAGGGTGACCCAAGTGCTACCTATCACCCACCATGCAAGTTAACAGAAGTCTAGCACCAAAGGGAAACTCAACAAAACTAGAATCATTATTCCAAATGACCAGACACTATACTTATACTAATGTATAAGAAATAATGTTGACAGGGACACCTGGGTGGTTCAGTCAGTTCAGTGTCTACCTTTGGCTCAGGTCATGATCCCAGGGTCCTGGGATCGAGTCCCTCATCGGGCTCCTTGCTCAGCAGGGAGCCCGCTCCTCCCTCTGCCTGCCGCTCCCCCTGCTTGTGCTCTCTCTCTGACAAATAAAATCTTTAAAAAAAAAAATGTTGACCTTTTATTTCAACATCATAATTTCTCTATTGAGTAAAAATTACTTATTGAACATTCAGGCTGTTATCACCTGGGAACAGGTGATTAAATTCTATATTTCATTTATTTATTTTTTAAAGTTTATTTAAGTAATCTCTACACACAGTGTGGGGCTCAACTCACAACCCTGAGATCAAGAGTCACAGGCTCTTCTGACTGAGGCAGCCAGGTGCCCCTAAATTCTATATTTTATTTATTTATTTATTTATTTAAAGATTTATTTATTTATTTGAGAGAGCGAGAATGAGAGAGAGAGAGTACATGAGAGGGGGGAGGGTCAGAGGGAGAAGCAGGCTCCTCGCTGAGCAGGGAGCCCAATGCGGGACTCGATCCCAGGACTCTGGGATCATGACCTGAGCCGAAGGCAGTCGCTTAACCAACTGAGCCACCCAGGCGCCCTAAATTCTATATTTTAAACTTGGTTTGCAATTTTACTTTGTTCCATAAATCGCCAGATTTGAGATAGAATAATCCAGAATTTAACTTGTTCATAGAAAACCCTGACTTCAGCCACAGAGTAGCTACTATTTTCCTTGTATTTTTAAAGACTCTGGCATATATAAAGACTCTAGTCGGCTTAAAAGAAACATTAGGTTAAAATATATCAGTGATTCTCAAATCACTACATGGACCCCCTCCCCACCAGATAGCAAGTTTCTTCAGATTGTTCTTTGTATTCTCTCTCAGGTTTTGTTATATATATATTTGGAAGTTTAAATAAATATACCTTTAAATATATATTCTCATTTATATTCCCTGATCCTCTATGGGATCTATTTATGAGTCATACAATTATATTACAGTTTTTTGTGCTAATTTGTCATATTATAATTTGTATTAAGCCCTTTACATGCAGTATTTTGTTTAGTATTTAGAATTGTTCTGTGAAGGATAGGTATTAACATTATTGTCTTAATTTTACATTAAGTGGTAACTTGCCCAAGATCACACAATTGGTGAGTGGCAGAGCTGGAATTTGAACCTAGCTTGTCTGTGAGGCCTGTGCACTTCACAACTTTTTGTTGCCATAAAGACCATCAGAAGTCATCTGAGTCAGCCCTTAAAATTTCTGGATTGGCTGACTGGATGGCTCAGTCAGTCAAGTGTCTGTTTCTTGGTTTCAGCTCAGGTATCGATCTCAGGGTTGTGAGTTCAAGCCCCACATTGGGCTCCATGCTGGGTGTGGAGCCTACTTACAAAAACAAAACAAAACAAAACAAAAAGGTAAAAAGAAGCTAAGGCCCAGAATGATAATGACCTGCCCATAGTCAGAGGATAATTCATTGGTAGAGCCAGGCTTCGAGCTGAGATTTTCTGCTAGTCAAGTAACAGAAGCAAATATTACCAAAACCTTGAGGGGAGACTGGCTTTCTTGAACAGAATACAGTAACCACCTCTATTTAGATTTTAAAACAGGTTTTAAGTTTTTTTTTTTAAGATTTTTATTTATTTATTGAGAGAGAGAGAATGGTAGAGAGAGAGCATGAGAGGGAGGAAGGTCAGAGGGAGAAGCAGACTCCCTGCTGAGCAGGGAGCCCGGTGGGAGACTCGATCCCGGGACTCCAAGATCATGACCTGAGCCGAAGGCAGTCACTCAACCAACTGAGTCACCCAGGCACCCAAACAGGTTTTAAGTTTATTTTTCTAAGAACAGAATGCTATACAAAATAATTGCTAAATTATCCTAACTTCACTTCTGAATAAAACCTTACATTATGTATTACATCTAAAAATCTCTACTTTTAAAAATTATAGCTTTAGGGGTGCCTGGGTGGCTCAGTCGTTAGGCGTCTGCCTTCGGCTTAGGTCATGATGCCAGGGTCCTGGGATTGAGCCCTGCATCGGGCTCACTGCTTGGCAGGAAGCCTACTTCTCCCTCTCCCACTCCCCCTGCTTGTGTTCCCGCTCTCGCTGTCTCTCTGTCAAATAAATAAATAAAATCTTTAAAAAAATTTTTAAAAATAAATGAATAAAAACTATATATAGCTTTATATGGACATAATTCTGAAAACCATTTTCTTAAAGAAACAGCTGATCTTTAGGACCTAACATTCAAAACCACAGCCTATTGAGGGTTTGCACTGAGAGGGAAAATTTGCACTGAGAGGAAAAGCAGTATCTTAAGTTTCCAGATTTTTTAAACTTCTGAGTATCTCTACATCCAACGTGGGGCTTGAACTCACAACCCTGAGATCAAGAATCACATGCTCTACTGACTGATCCAGGAAGGAGCCCCTTAATTTTCCAGATTTTTTTTCTTAAAGATTTTATTTACTTGACAGAGAGGGAGAGTGGGAGAGCACAAGCACTGGGGAGCGGCAGGGGAAGAAGCAGGCTCCCCACCGAGCAGGGACCCCGACTTGGAGCTCCATCCCAGGACCCTGGGATCATGACCTGAGCCGAAGGCAGACACTTAGCCAACTGAACCACTCAGGTGCCCCAATTTTCCAGATTTTTGAAATGAAAAGGACATGCAGTAAACTATCAAACAGAATGCTATAGTTGGTATGCAAGATACTCCCTCTCTCATTTAGCCTCAATTTCCTCATCTACAAAAGGGAACACTTAACCCCATTTATCTCCTAGTGTTAGGAAAAGTGTTGAATGACATAATATATACAAAAGTTTTTTGTAAATTGTAAAAAGCTATAAAAACACAAGTAAATATACTGAGTGTCATAACATAATTAATTCTGTTCACCAGCCACTTATGAATCAGTGTTGTTCTATCAGCAACAACAAATAAACGAAGTTCAGCAAGATGAAGCACTCCAACTGCCAAAAGACCTAGATTATTTAACCCTCAGAGATGTGTCTTTGTCTTATGAAGTTCGAGAGAAGCTACATTTCAGTCGCCCAGAAACGGTAAGAAACCAGGCAGTGGAGCAGGATATAAAAAGCTGGTGCTTTAATTTTTTAAACCTGGATTTACCGCGGTCACATAATTAATGTTTTAGTTCATCATAAAAAATCTAACCTCTTATTTTCATAATTATATCTCTGTATGACAGATGTTGGTTTGTTTTTGAGAGACAAAAAAACTTAGTCTAAATAAATAACTAGAAGAATTGAGTTGATTAAAATTATTCTCTAGTCCCAATTATGTGCTAAACCACAGTGCAAACTAGTACAATGCATGACATAAAAGAAAGCACATTAGGTTAATACATGTGAGTGGTTTTCAAATCACCACTTGGTTCCCTCCCTAGGAGTTCCATAGTGTTGGCTTAGAAGCTACTAGGAGGAAGAGGGGAGCCAAAAAAAAGGTCCCTCACCCCATGCTTCTGTCTAAGTGTGTGTATATGTGTGTCTGTAAATGTCTGTAAACAAATTAAAAATTTTATTATATGGTATATAGTATTGGACTTTAATAAGAAATATTTAAAGATAATAGGCTATATTTATCCATTCTGAGATGCCCATTTAACATTTCTGCAACTGAGTTGTATCTTAAAAATGGATGATGGTGTATCATAGTAATGGACAATGGCTTTTTTTAGTGGTGATTCATATAATAAAAGGCATTTAACAAAAATATAACCTGTAAAATTTTTTGAAAAAAATTATTTTTAAAGGGAAGAGTGATTCGGTCAATATAACATGACCTTTGACAAGCTGCTTTAACTTCTGTGAGGCTCATTTTCCCTAATTTGTAAAATGAAGGTATTAATAGTGATCACATTCCCTTTATCTACTTTATAGTTATTTTGAAGATATATTAAGTTCTGAAAATATTTTATAAACTATAATATACAGATTATTAACAAAATAGATTTGATTTGATTTGATATAGCTCACTTATGTTTTATGGTTTTAATTCTTAGATTGGGGCTGCTAGTCGTATACCTGGAGTGACACCTGCTGCCATCATCAATCTACTTCGATTTGTGAAGACCACTCGGCAAAGACAGATGGCTATGAATGCATTGCCCAAAACTGATCAGTCCTTATGTGATACAGAAAGCCTTGAAGAGAGACAGTTATAGCTTTATATTCATAGAAGACTTTTAAGTAGTACAAGAGTATAGATAGGGTATAAGTATTTATATTTAGCACCTATTAAAATAATAAAATAAACTTACTAGGTTATTACGGATTTGTCACTAATTTATGAAGAGGGCAGAGATTATAACCGTGCTTTTTTATGTATCTGAAAAAAGTTATAAAGTTTTCATTTATACTCTTTCTCTTAGGTGCTCTAATACAGTGAGCCTATTAATATAACTGCAGTGTTCATCAGGGAGATAATAGTGGACCCACAACTAAACCTGAAGAAAAATCTCAGCTTGCAGATTTGCCTACTTATAAGGACCTTGTCCATTAAATGTTACCAAAGTAAAAGTCTTTTTTTTTTAAAGATTTTATTTATTTATCTGACAGACACAGCGAGAGAGGGAACACAAGCAGGGGGAGTGGGAGAGGGAGAAGCAGGCTTCCCGCCGAGCAGGGAGCCCAATGTGGGGCTCGATCCCAGGACCCTGGGATTATGACCTGAGCCGAAGGCAGACGCTTAACAACTGAGCCACCCAGGTGCCTCCAAAGTGAAAGTCTTATGTGCAAACCTGTTTTGAAAGTTAGTAGTCTTTTGCTTGGTTAATGAGGCAATTTCAAAGCCCTCAAATTCTTAGGGCTACAAATTTTTTAAAGATTTTTATTTATTTATTTGAGAGAGAGAGAATGAGAGATAGAGAGCACAAGAGGGAAGAGGGTCAGAGGTAGAAGCGGATGTGGGACTCGATCCTGGGACTCCAGGATCATGACCTGAGCCGAAGGCAGTCACTTAACTAACTGAGCCACCCAGGCGCCCAGGGCTACAAATTTTAAACTATACAAAATCACCTAGAATCATTCAGCTGATTTCCAGCATTGGAATATAATATGTAGGGTGAAAGTTAACTTTTGAGATTCCTATACTTCTGCAGGAAATCCTCACCACTCATTTTTTTTTTTTCTCACCAGTAATTATCTTTGAACATTAATGAAAACCCTGTAAAATAGAAAGGTTGGAAATGATCATATTTTCCTATGATCCACAATACAGAAAATTTTTTGGCAACCTAGTTAAGGGAGAATAAAGGTAAATTTTCTATCATACAATATTTTCTTACAAAACTGTTATGGCCATGATTTCTAAACAAAGACAAATCCATAGTAACTGGTGACTAGTGTTTCCCTGTTTTTAAGTCAGAAGTGACAGAAAAACTGAAATGATGCTGGCTCTCCTCTTCCTCTTCAGTACTTCGATTCTATGTTGTCACGAAGTTTAGGGTGGGATGACCACCTGGGTCCTTTGGCTGGCTGGTTCACCTCAACCTTTCTGTATAAACTGGAGGATGAATACAGACAAGTGGGCCAGAGAGCCTTCCTTGTTCCTGGAAATGCCAACTCGGATCTCTGGTATCATTAAGGAGCAGTTCCCATGTCAGCTTCAGGCCAAAGCAGATACTTAAGACCATACCAAGGGCCCTGAAGTCACTCTGGCAACAGATCTATGTGTTAAGCCTGATTATGGGTCAGAGGCAGCCAAAAAGCTCGTTGCTATAATCAGATATGGCTACTTGGATGTAGCTCGGTTTTCATGGATTTGTTTCATCTAATTTTAGTCTTTCCATTAAAGTAGTCAGTATCAGTAGCAAGTAAAAAGTATTTGTAATGCTGGATCATTTAGCAATGATGAATTCTTTCTGATACTTGATTTAGTAATTTCAAAAAGTAACTTTTACTTTAGTTATGGCTATTCCTAAACAGAATTCGTACTACAGAGGCAATATTGGTTACATACTATAGTACATTTTTAAAAGGCCATTTTGCACTACCTGTTTAGCACCAGAAGGGAAATCACTGTTTTAAAACTTTTTTCTGGTTAGGGGACACCTGGGTGGCTCAGTCGGTTAAGTGTCTGCCTAGCATCCTGGGATCGAGTCCCACATCAGGCTTCTTGCTCAGCAGGGAGCCTGCTTCTCCTCTGTCTGCCGCTCACCCTGCTTGTGCTCTCTGACAAATAAATAAAATCTTTAAAAAAAAAAACAAAGCTTTTTCTGGTTAAATACAAGAGTAAAAGCAGTGGTGCTTTTGGGGTGCTTAATGATTGAAATTTATCTTGAGGAAATAATAAAGTTTTTAAATGCTTTGGAAAGTTCTTGATGGCTGTAATTTGGGCCTAGTTAACAGTATACATATTAAGAAATTTAAGTTTTATAATGTGATTCCAGTATAATAGTAACTGACTCACTAAAAAATGATGGAAAACATTTGTTTTAGGTTCTGCCTTTTGGTTTAGGATCTTTAAATCTATAATTTAAAATGTGTTAAACTTTTACAAAATTACCTTGCTTAAAAAGAGTGTTCCAAAACAGCTTACTTACCTTTTCATGCTGCTGGCCAGAATGCTATAGACCATCATGCTCTAGGGAAAAATCAGTTAAAAATGTACTTCATAGAAATCTCCCCCAATGGGGTGCCTGGGTGGCTCAGTCAGTTAAGTGTCTGTCTTCAGCTCAGGTCATGATCTCAGGGTTCTGGGATCGAGCCCTGTGTCAGGCTCCCTGCTGAATAGGGAGTCTGCTTCTCCCTCTCGCTCTGTCCCTCCCCACCAACCCTGCTTGTGCTCTCTCTCAAAGAAATAAAATCTTAAAAAAAAATCTCCCCCAACAATGACAATAGTCAGCCTCCAACAGAAGTTGGCCACACTTGTGATTTCCTCTACCCACCACAGACCACACTGCCTGGCAGTTAGAAAAGCCCAGGTACTCAAGTTCATTTCAACAGGAACACCAAAATAAAAAAGAGGAAACAGCTAAGGAACACGAAGCATTTGTAAAATCATTGATTCAGGGAGAGAGAAGGGAGGATTGAAGATTGGAACCTATGCTAAATTAAGCCATTATAACCTTGAATTGTGAAGTTACCTCCTATAGCCAGAGTTTGAATTTTATTATTTTTTAAAAATATTTGGTCAGTTTTTAGTTTCAACCTAGATTAGAACCTCATTTTGACTGTCACTGACTTCTAAATCGACATTCTCAAACTGCTAGCTGCAATTCATTAGCAAGCTATGAAAATTTTTGTCATAGATAATAAAAATACTATTCTCTGACACTTTTGTTTCAGTACTTAACATACAAATTATATTTTACCAATTTTAGGACTTATTTTTTTCCTTTTATCATCTCTAAATTGTTGTATGTTCTATAGTCAATAGAATCTTAAAAATTGGCAGCATTTGGGGCGCCTGGGTGGCTCAGTCATTAAGTGTCTGCCTTCGGCTCAGGTCGTGATCCCAGGGCCTGGGATTGAGCCCTGCATCCGGCTCCCTGCTCGGCGGGATACCTGCTTCTCCCTCTCCCACTCCCCCTGCTTGTGTTCCCTCTCTCGCTGTGTCTCTGTCAAATAAATAAATAAAACCTTAAAAAAAAAAAATTGGCAGCATTTGTGACTTCCAACTGAAAACATCTTAGATGCAATGAAATACTGTGTTATACTGTGTTGCAATAGAAAATGTATTTCTTACTATGGATCCTAGTCAAAAATGTTTGAAAAAGACCAATCTGTTTGAATAATAGCACTACTCCCTACTGGGAAAGCCCCAATATATTAGGATTTTTAAGATTTTATTTATTCATTTGAGGGAGAGAGGGAGAAAGAGAGAACATGTGTACACAAGCAGGGTGAGAGGTAGAGAGAGAGGGAGAAGCAGACTCCCTGCTGAACTGGGAGCCCAACATGGGGCTCATTCCCAGGATCTGGAGATTATGACCTGAGATAAAGGCAGACCCTCAACCATCTGAGCCACCCAGGCACCCCTATATTAGGATTCTTTAACGTGTGTATTTCTCAACGTAGGAAAAACTTATCGATCTCTCCCTATGCTATAGCATGGCTAGGTGATGTGATTAAAGTATAATTGGAAGTTGCTGTTGGGCATGGATCTCAGCTATTCTGACTTCACAATATCTTTCTGCCACTTTCAGTGACTTTTTTTCCTCCTAAGGACCAGAAGTCCTCCACTAGATGAAAGTTTCTCCAGCTCTCCTAAACAATCTCCTTCTCGGGGCTTAACCTTCAATTCCCTCCCACTCCCACACTTTGTAGCCTATTTCATGCTAAGCATTTATGGAGTTGCCATGCTTAATGAACCATTACAGCACTCAATCTAAGCGTTATCTCAGAGTTTAGAGGGCTATAGGGGAATTTAGAATGTGATTTTCACTCTGAACAGCATTCTCTGCAGATTTAAAATACTCTTCATGTACTTGAAGACAATAATACTTTTCTAGTGTTTGCTAGGCTAAACAACTACTTTTCAAACCCAGTGCCTCATAATTCAAATTTAGTCTTTATTTATGTTGGTTGCTCTTTGAATTCTCTTTCAGAGTTGGCCTACACTATTTAAAACACAACAATCAAAACTTAAAACAACATGTTAAGAAACATAAAAAATGGACTGTGTAGGGGCACCTGGGTGGCTCAGTCATTGGGTGTCTGCCTTCGGCTCAGGGCATGATCCCAGTGTCCTGGGATCAAGCCCAGCGTCGGGCTCTCTGCTCTGCGGGAAGCTTACTTCTCCCTCTCCCGCTCCTCCTGCTTGTGTTCCCTCTCTCGCTGTCTCTGTCAAATAAACAAAATCTTAAGAAAAAAAAAGGACTATGTAAACTTAAAAGGAAACATTCTAGACTGTATGTAAGACAACACCAGCACACATGCCATGTTTCAAGCAATGAAAAGGAAACTTACTGAATTTTCTGTATTTCCAACTTCACACAGAACCTAAAGGTGGGAGGGAGGGCAGTTTAACAAACTTCAGAGACAGATATGAGAGCTTTGAAGAAAAACATTCACCAGCAGTTACATAAAATATGAGAAACTGAGTTCCAAGAGATGCATTCTCCAACCTCAGTATAAAGATTTAGTTACAGGGGTGCCTGTGTGGCTCAATCAGTTGACTCCGACTCTTGGGATGCCTGGGTGGCTCAGTTGGTTAAGCGTCTGCTTTCAGCTCAGGTCATGATCCCAGGCTCTTGGGATCGAGTTCCACATTGGGCTCCCTGCTCAGCGGGGACCCTGCTTCTCCTCTGCCTCTCTCTGTCTCTCGTGAATAAATAAAATCTTTAAAAAAAAGAAAATCCGACTCTTGGTTTTGGCTGAGGTCGTGATCTCTGGGTCGTGCCCTCCAGGCTAGGTGGGGAG